CCCCCCGCCATCATTTCTGTAGCCCAGTGTTACCTTCCCTTTATCTGTGAAATGACATCTGTAACAAACCCTAAGCTGCTTTATACCTGAGAACTTATTTTTGTTTCAGCCTTCGTGCCCAGCTCAATTGCTCACTTCTCCAAAACTGGCATTTCATTATAAGTTCGTGCAGGTTGATTTTAAAGCTTGTTATCACCATTTCTCCTTGATCAAAGATCGGCTTTCACCCACAGCTCCGTTCGTCTCGATGGGAAGATTTCCTTCAAAGCAATCCTGCAGACTGATGATGTCAGCTGCATCACTTTGGCCTCAGACCATGGTTTGATACTTGAATTCCACTGCTGTCCTGCCAAGACCCCCGTCCAACCAAATTTTAATCAGAGGGTAGGCAGGGCCAAGAAGCTTTTTAGCTGAAATAAGCAAGGAGGCTTAATCAGAGTCTGGACAGAGGCACTGAAAGCAGAAGAAGAACCTGCAGGCCTGGTTTAAGCAGATGCTGTCTGATTTTTGAATGCAATAACTCAGAGAAAGGGGGAGGGACACTTCCTGTGCCTCAGGCTTAGATGGATACTGGGACATGAACTAAAGTACAGAACAGCTCTCAGTCTGTGTTTCGAATATCAAGATGAACTACTTTAAAGCCATTTTTAGGAGTAGAGCCTAATGCAGACAAAGAGGTGTGTTCCATTCTGTGTCTACTGTATTGTATAGCTGTAAATTGAAATCACTGTTTTGTTTTTTGTTTGTTTTTGAGCGACATGTGCTGACAAACTGATTGAGCTGTGCAGCAAACCATGAAGATAGAAATATGTGTTTGAGCCACACCTGGTGGCATTTCCTGAGAAGTCATATAAATCATAGATCCTACAGTGGATTGTTTTTAAATGTTCAAATGTATGGCTCAGAGTTTCTCACAGCGATTTCTGTCAGTGGGACGGGGCATGATTCATCCAGCTGAACGATGATGACTCCATCGTTTTCAAAGAAAACTGTCCTTTTGTAAGCTGTAAGTGGTGCTAATGTGAATGTTTTGTTGTTTAGACAAGCGGAGCTGTTTGAGAGCTTTGCGTCATTTCAGAACGTTAAATATGTTCTCTTGTTTTCTCCGTTCTGCTGCTCCTCGTATGGATGAGTTCGGACTTGTCTTCATCAAATCGTCAGTATTCATTTGTAACGTTTCTCCCATGCGTATGCAACAAATACGTTCACTCTTATATTCTTAATCAATGAGACTTGAGTGCCAACAGGTCCATTTTGTTTCATTCCAGTTCTTATGTTAAAAAAACTGCAAACCTCTTTCTGATCCATCCTGATGAGGATTTTTAAGATTTCTGCTGCTTCTGTGATATTTTAACTCCTGACGGAGGACCAGTCATTGACTGTCTTTCCAGAGCTGGGCATTGTGCAATCTTGAACAGTAATTCACTGAAGAGGAGACTTGATTTCAATGTTTTTAATTGTGGTACTTTTAATGTAAATGTGAACCGAATAAATCCCAATAAATGGTTCTTTGTAATTCAAGTGATTTGACTCTTGATAGCACACCTCACACAATGCACAGAACTAACTGCAGACGTGAAATGATGTTAGCTGTGTTCAAGCGAAGAGGCAACTGCTGGATATGAAAATCCAACATCCAAGTGCCAAAATAGCCTTTGGCTGCCCAAAGATCATTTTGGGCAGCCAAAGGCTGACTGAAAAAGTGAGTCGGTCCAATCACTTCCCCTAGAGACCCATGTTAAAATCAAAGACTGTATACTAATAATGGCAATAGCCACGTTCATTCACTCACTGTTTCTGGACTCTGCGTATGAGGGTTCAGTGTAATCATGCTGGAACTGTAGAAAAGTAGTGACACAATCAAACACTCATCTCCACAGTGATGGCCATTACCTGCCTGAAACCGGAAGTGACGTCATTTTCACAGAAAATGTAGTTTTTTTTACTTGTAGTCCTTAAGAGCCTATACTGGTGTTTTTATAAGTCATGTTTGACTTATAACCTCTTAAATTTCTCCAAGTAGAAATATATGTAAAAAAACCAAAAACGATTTTCAATTTTTTTGTAGTTTATTGCACTTTTTTGCAATTTATGTAGTTACTATGGACTTAATGCATACATATTATTAAAATATGGGCTATAA